CTGTAGGAAGCATCGCAGCCCAAGGGACATGCTGGCTGCCACTTCCCACCACTGCCATTGACCTGGAATGGCAAACAGCCACTAGCAGCTGAGGGGCTCTGTGCTTGCAGCCCTCCAAGTACACACACGTCCCAGCATGCCAGCAGTTTGATATGCTGGGCTGGGCACTGAAATTTCCTGCCCTCACCTTCTTCTCCCCGACCCCCCAGTTTAAAAGTAAAGGGCAATGATCCATTCATAAGACAACACCTGCTCTTTATAGCATGTCGTTTGTTTAACCAAAAAAAATCAACTTTTGATAGTGATTTAAAGAACCAAGACTTCCCATAAATACTCAAACATGTTAGGTGCTAGGAGCTGACTGGGTATGTATCCCACTCCTACAACTGGGAAGTATTGTGACTGTTTACACTGGGTAGAGTGTAAGTCTGCATATACCACCACAGAGGGGGTAAAGTTTTCCTGTGTCATTGATTGTTTAATTGTCTCACAATACTGACTCCCTATTAAAAACTGCATCAAATAGTCAACATGTGATTGTTAAATATGGATGCTCTGAGGAAAGATTGCATTGATTTTAAATTAAGTTTCTCACTGATACTGGTTAACCATTAACATGAAGTAGTAAGTTTCACCCTTGAGTGAGGCTAACCGGTTACGGTTAATTAGAGTGGGGGAGAGAGCACTCACTCTAGGCCATCTGCAGTGGCTGGAGGCGGGGGATGCCAGCCAGCCTTCCTTCTTGCCCCTGTTTAATTGGTTAACTAATTAAATGGGATTTTGCATCCCTATTTACAATATCTCAGGTTATACTTTGTGTAATTTAAGAACTTAGGAAATAGTACATAATTTTCATTACCTGTTTCACGCTGCAGATGCAGCAGCAATACATTAGGAATAGTAAGAACTAAATCACACACACAAATCCAATAGCTCTTACAGTTTATTAACCTAAATCTTAAATCTGGCATAAATGTTTTGCACTTGCAATTGCAGCAGTCTCCTGAATTGCTGCTTGACAGCTGTCCTGAAACTCATTGATTGGCTACCAAAATAAAGAACTCTATAATAATGGGGGATTTTAATTACCCCCATATTGACAAAATAACTAGATACATTCATGAAGGTTAGGTCCATCAACAGCTATTAGCCAGGATGGGTAGGAATTCCCTAGCCTTTGTTTGTCAGAGGTTTAGTCCTGAGTGGAGTGCAGGATCAGGTCCAGGATATAACCGTTACAGGACCGCTTGGGAATAGTGACCATAATATAATAACATTCAACATTCCTGTGGTGGGAAGAACACCTCAGCAGTCCAGCACCCTGGCATTTAATTTCAAAAAGGGGAATTACACAAAAATGAGGAGGTTTGTTAAACAGAAATTAAAAGGCACAGTGACTAGAGCCAAATCCCTGAAAGCTGCATGGAAACTTTTTAAAGACACCATAATAGAGGCCCAACTTAAATGTATACCCCAAATTAAAAAACATAGCAAGAGACCTAAAAAAGAGTCACCGTGGCTTAACCACCATGTAAAAGAAGCAGTGAGGGACAAAAAGGTATCTTTTAAGAAGTGGAAGTCCAATCCTAGTGAGATAAATAGAAAGGAACATAAACACTGTCAAATCAAGTGTGTAAATGTAATAAGAAAAGCTCAAAAATAAATAACACAATGTTTTTTAAGTACATTAGAAGCAGGAAGCCTGCTAAAAAACCTGTGGGTCCCCTAGATGATCGAGCTATAAAAGGAGCAATCAAGGACGATAAAGCCATTGCGGAGAAACTAAATGATTTCTTTGCTTCAGTCTTCACGGCTGAGGACGTTGGGGAGATTCCTGAATCTGCACCGTCCTTTGTGGGTGATGAATCTGAGGAACTGTCCTGGATTGAAGTGTCATTAGAGGAGGTTTTGGAACAAATAGAAAAACTTAATGTTAACAAATCTCCGGGACCAGATGGCATTCATCCTAGGGTTCTAAAAGAACTTAAATGGGAAATTGCTGAGCTATTATCTGTGGTTTGTAACCTATCCTTTAAATCAGCTTCTGTACCTAATGACTGGAAGGTAGCCAACGTGACACCAATATTTAAAAAGGGCTCTAGAGGCGATCCTGGCAATTACAGACCGGTAAGTCTAACTTCAGTACCGGGCAAATTAGTCGAAACAATAGTAAAGAATAAAATTGTGAAGCATGTAGAAGAACATAATTTGTTGGACAAAAGTCAACATGGTTTCTGTAAAGGGAAATCCTGTCTTACTAATCTATTAGAGTTCTTTGAAGGGGTTAACAAACATGCGGACAAGGGGGATCCAGTAGATATAGTATACTTGGATTTTCAGAAAGCCTTTGACAAGGTCCCTCACCAAAGGCTCTTGTGTAAATTACATGGCCATGGGATAAGAGGGAAGGTCCTTTCTTGGATTGAGAACTGGTTAAAAGACAGGAAACAAAGGGTAGGAATAAATGGTAAATTTTCAGATTGGAGAGGGGTAACTAGTGGTGTACCCCAAGGGTCAGTCCTGGGACCAATCCTTTTCAACTTATTCATAAATGATCTGGAGAAAGGGGTAAGCAGTGAGGTAGTAAAGTTTGCAGATGATACCAAACTGTTTAGGATAGTCAAGACAGAAGCAGACTGTGAGGGACTCCAAGAAGATCTCACCAAACTGAGTGATTGGGCAACAAAATGGCAAATGAAATTTAATGTGGATAAGTGTAAAGTAATGCACATCGGGAAAAATAACCCCAACTATACGTACAGTATGATGGGGGCTAATTTGGCTACGACAAATCAGGAAAGAGATCTTGGAGTTATCGCGGACATTTCTCTGAAAACTTCCATGCAGTGTGCAGCAACGGTCAAAAAGGCAAATAGGATGCTAGGAATTATTAGGAAAGGGATAGAAAATAAGACCCAGAAGATCTTTCTGCCCCTGTATAAAACTATGGTACGCCCATATCTTGAATACTGTGTACAGATGTGGTCTCCTCTCCTCAAAAAAGATATTTTGGCCTTGAAAAGGGCAACTAAAATGATTAGGGGTTTGGAACGGGTCCCATATGAGGGAGGGGTTAAAGCGATGGGAACATTTCAGGTTAGAAAAGAGGAGACTGAGGGGGGATATGATAGAGGTCTAGCAAATCATGAGTGGTGTGGAGAGGGCCGATAAAGACAAGTTATTTATTAGTTCCCTAAATAGAAGAACTAGAGGACACCAAATGAAATTAATGGGTAGCAGGTTTAAAACTAATAAAAGAAAGTTCTTCTTTACACAGCGTGTAGTCAACCTGTGGAACTCCTTGCCAGAGGAGGCTGTGAAGGCTAGGACTATAATAGAGTTTAAAGAGAAGCTAGATAATTTCATGGAGGTTAGGTCCATAAAATGCTATTAGCCAGGGGATAAAATCGTGTTCTTGGCCTCTGTTTGTCAGAGGCTGGAGAGTTTTTCCGGAAAAACTATGCTGCTCCCGTTCGGGCAAAAGTCCTTTTCCGGAAAAGTGTTCTGGAAAAGGGCCAGTGTAGACAGCACAGATTTCTTTTCTGCAAAAAAGCCCCGATCGCGAAAATGACGATCGGGGCTTTTTTGCGGAAAAGCGCGTCTACATTGGCACAGATGCTTTTCCGGAAAAAGTGCTTTTCTGGAGAAGCATCCTGCCAATGTAGATGCGCTTTTTCTGGAAATACTTATAACGGAAAACTGTTCCGTTTTAAGCATTTCCAGAAAATCATGCCAGTGTAGACGTAGCCACTGTGTTACTGTGCTGTTTTAGTA